GTTTGTGTGTGTGTGTGTGTGTGTGTGTGTGTGTGTGTGTGTGTGTGTGTGTGTGTGTTGTATTGTGTGTGTGTGTAGGAGGCTCTGACGGGGTCCCGGTGGAGGTGCACGAGGCTCTGCGGGTGGCCATGGAGAAACTCCAGGAGCGTTTCACAGCACTCATGCAGGAGAAGGTGGATCTGAAGGAGCGGGTGGAGGAGCTGGAGCACCGCTGCATTCAGCTGTCAGGAGAAACAGACACCATCGGTCAGACACCGCTGCATGCAGAGAGCTTTTTTCATTTATACTACTCTCCTGTCTAGATATACATATTAATAGCAATATTGTTTTAAAATATTCATAAAACACAGTCAATACTATATAGAATACAATTTAAATGTTTCTACTTGTGCTCAGTTTTAAACTTTCTGTTTAATTATTAGTATTAATATTCATAATTAGTTCTAATAATACAATTTAAAGGGGTTATCTATGCACAATCAGCTTGTAACACTCCAAAGAGAAAGGAAGAATTGAAATCGCATTGAAATGACCCCTTTAATAAAAGAACCAAGGTATATATACCTGTTCTATCGGAAAGGTAACTTTAAATGACTTCTGTTGTGATCTGGCGCTATAGAGAAAATATAATTAAATAAAATTAACTTGACCTTTAAGTGGGACGGCCCCCTAATGTCAGGGGAAACACAGAGACACGGGGAGATATAAATAGAAATTTTTTTTTTTTTGATCCACTTCAAATGTTGACTACTGTATATATCAAAAATTAAGAACAGTAATATTTTGAAATATGATTACAATTTCCTTCGTTTGTGATCTGGCGCTATAGAGAAAATATAATTAAATAAAATTAACTTGGCCTTCAAGGGGGGGGTGGGGGGTATATTAATATAATGGCAGGGGAAACACTGAGTTGTGTATCGTTTTATTGGATTTAAGTTTGTTTTTTGAACTTGTTAAATTCAGTTCAGTGATAAGAGCTGTAGCAGTTAAATTTGATACTGTTTTTGTTTATAGATGTGTTTTTTTGTGACTGTTGTTGTGTTGTGTGTGTGTAGGTGAATACATCGCGCTGTATCAGAACCAGAGAGCCATCATGAAACAAAGACACTTTGAGAAGGAGCAGTACATCAACATGCTGGCTAAAGACAAGGAGGAGATGAAGGTACAAGGAGCAGCTGAGTGATGGAGTGACGTCTGCAGCCTGATGTTGACGCGTGTGTGTGTGTGTGTGTGTTCAGGCGAAGCTAGCGGAGCTGCAGGATCTGGTCATGCGTCTGGTGGGCGAGCGTAACGAATGGTACAGCAGATACATGAGTGCCGTCAGTAACCCCGGCCTCCTGTCCTCTGGAGAACACCCCCATCCTGCTGACGGACACACGGACGGTTCCGGTACAACAGCACAGTCACACTGATTCAGTTCGTTCAGATGAGTCGATTCAGTTAACCAGTTCAACTTCAGTTCATTCAAATGAGTCGATTCAGTTAACCAGTTCAACTTCAGTTCATTCAGATGAGTCGATTCAGTGAACCAGTTCAACTACAGGAGCTTCCGCTTTCAGAAGGCCTGGAAAAGTCATGGATATTTCTATAGTCGATTTCATCTCTTTTTCTAGTTATGCTCAGTTTTAAACTATTTCTATTTAATTATTAATATTAGTATTAATTAGTGCTGGGCAGCGATTAATCGCATCCAAAATAAACGTTTTTGTTTACATGGTATATGTTTGTGTACTGTGTATATTTATTATGTGTATATATAAGTACACACACATACAGTATATATTTAGAAAATATTTACATGTATATATTTATATTCATATAATTTATATAATATTTAAATATATTCAATATATAAAGATAACATATTTTTCTTAAATATATACATGCATGTGTGTATTTATTTATATATATATATATACACAGTACACACACATATACTATTACAATTAATCGTTGCCCAGCATGATTATTAATAAATAATAATAATCATAATAATATTAAAAGCTATATTGTTTTAATATATACATTAAAAATATAAATAGAAAAGTCTTGGACATTTCTATAATCAATTTAAATGTTTCTGGTTATGCTCAGTTTTAAACTATTTCTATTTAAGTAATGATGTTAATAAGAATAACTAATACTATTAATAGTAGTATAATTTTCATATTAATTTAAAATATAAAAGGAAAAGTCAATACATTATAGTAAATATACATTTTTCTACTTATGCTCACTTTTAAAATGTTTCTATATAATTAATAATAATAATAAATACTGTTATCAATATTATTTTCATATATTAATTTGAAATATAAAAGGAAAAGTCAATACATTATAGTTAATATAGATTTTTCAGCTATTCAACTATTTTTTCAGCTAGAAATACTATTTTTAAAAATCCAACTGGGAAAAAATCGTGGAAATTAATTAGTCAGAAAGCATGGGAATCATGAAACTATTTGATTAATCACTTAAAAATTGTCCCAGAATCTATGTGTGGCATTTTCTGTAAAAGTCCCACATTATGCATAAAGTCTTTATTTGTGTTTTGGTTAATGACCTGCATCTAGCATTCAATTCAACAACGTGTAACTCTGATAATTCAAGAGTGTTGTCGAATCTACAGACCGTTTTTGCATCATCAGATTAGAATCTTGTTTACAGTAATACGAGTTCTGTGTGGTTTTCCTAAAGTATTCCTCTTCACTCAGCCGTTCTGGACCTGAGCACAGCGGTGGAGGCGTCTACAGCGCCTCAGTCCAGCACAGACCCACAGACTCAATCCCAGAGTCCAGAGAGGCCTGGATCCGCCCCCCTGAGACCCACAGAGGACGGCACGGCCCGCCAGATCATGCAGCTCCTGCAGGAGATCCAGAATCCTCAGGCCAGACCCGCTCCCTTCCTGAGAGAAAACCCCTGCATCCCGTTCTTCTACCGGCCCGACGAGCACGACGAGGTCAAGATCCTGGTGGTGTGACCGCGTCCGTCTCTCCGTCTCCGTTTGACGATACGCACACACATATTAAATGGGGTTTCCCTCTTAGTTTCTCTGCTTTCTTCAGTGGATAAGAGAAATCTGATGCATTCTCAAGCTCTTTGGCTCCGTTTGGTTTGTGTGTAAACCAGTTAATCCATAAGAATATCAGTTTTCGCTGTTTTTTTCCCTGATTCATTTGTCCTCTTTTACTTTATCAAATAAGTGCAATAGACCGGTGACAGATCAGTGATTCATATCAGTATGATTCAGATCCATGCCGGGTGGGATAGTGAACTCGCACACTAACTAGGGTACAGCGATGAGTAACATTGATATCATAAAGCAGGTCTGGATTAAGATGATGAAGAGTTTTCTGAGAGAACCCGATTATGAAGCATGTAGGGGCAGAGTATCGAGAAGGTAATGACATGCAGAAACTGAATCAGAACTAAAACATAAATTCATGAATCATTCAGTCTGAACATGCATCACACTTTAGGCCGAGCCGAGAGTGTTCAGTGGACACAAACCGGGTTGTTTTTGCTTTTCCAATTGGGATTTATTGAAAGATGCAATTATAATTTCTTCCCTACAAACACGCGAGCACCTTGAGTTTTTTCCAGATGTCGAAGCTTTCGAGATGTTGGCGATTGTTTGCGGCTAACTCTATGACGCTAGCGACCGTCAGCCGAGAGTTTTGAGTGTTGTTCGTATGTAGAGTGAATGATCGAACGTTTGTGAGAGCTGTACATATATATATATATATATATATATATATTAGAGAAAACGATTTGTAATAATTCCTCTTACATGAGCAAAGCTTGAACGGTGAGTTCATCCATAAACATCCTCAGACACAGAGATACGTTCAGCAGCGTTACAGGGGTTTGCAATCTACTTCTTCGTGTCTTGTATGTTTGTGTAAATAATTATAACCGCAGCTACACCTTTAAAGAGCGTTGTGCATTGCATAAGGCTGTTTTATATGCATAATGCTCTTTAGAATTGTATGCATAGATTTATTTACAAAAACATTCAGCCAGTTCTGAAGTAGAATGCATTGTGCATGGCTCTCTAATGCATTATATTTACACAGGCTTCATAGAAAGCGTTGCTTTATCTATTTACAGCTGAAGAATTCAAGTGGACTCATGTATGTGGGTATAACTGGAAGCATGTCGATTGAGTTTACATCTGAATACTGTGTTTGGGCTGCAGTACCAGAGTATTTCACGCTGCTGTACTCTGAAGCATCATTGCACATCATCTCTATCTGCGTTCATGTATGAATATATTTTACAGTGATTCTTTTGGGCGTGGGCTTTAATCAGACGTTGATTGTTTTGCTTGTTCATGTATCAGATGTGTAAATAGTGTAACTGTGTATCATACTGTATATTGACGAGGAAGGCTTGCGTTTGCCTGCTGAAGACTCGGATGAATCTAGTGCGAAGAGAGGACGGGATGTGTGTGTGGTTTCATACTGCGGCTGAACTAAAGGAGAATTCTATTTATTTGGGATAATTACACACTAATCTGTTTTAATTCAGACTAATGGAACACAATGAAGGAATAATGAGTAGTTCGAGTGATGATTTGCCTCCTAAATAAACCTGATTGAGCAAAATGAAGAGCGTTTTATGTCTGAAGTTCATGATTTCATGTTCTTTTCATAAGACTGACGTTTGAGGTTGACATTTTTAATGCAATGCATGATTTCAAGTATTCGTATGTAATGACAATGTACTGCTAAAACTGTTTTAATCGGCGTGCGTTTAATGACCTCAGCGAGAAAAAAATCATGCTATTTATGCCGCATGACAAGTCAAATAATGACAATAATTGCCTTTTTATTTCAAAGTTTTGATTTTTCATCTCATAATTGCAATTAATTAGTATGTCATCATTTTGACTTTTTATCCAATAATTGGCCTGTCATAATTATGACCTTTTAATCTTATAATTATGATTTCGTCATAATTTTGACCTTTTATCTCATAATTATGACTCTGTAGGTCTATCTCATGACTTTTTATCATAATTATGATTTAGTATGTCATAATTTTGACTTTTTAATCTCATGATTACGACTTTGTCATAGAGTTTTATCTATCTCATAATTATGACTTAGTAGGTCATTACTTTTTTCATAATTATGACCTAGTATCATAATTTTGACTTTATTCCACAATTGTGTTTTCATGTCTCAATATGCATTTTTGTCTCATAATTATGACCTCGTGTCGTAATTTAAAATTATCTCATAATTATGACTATCTTATAATTATGGCTTAATAGGTCTTCTCACGACTTTTTATCTCGTAAATGACTTTTTATATTATAATCATGACCTTATGTCAGAATTTTTACTTTTTATCTCATAATTGACTTTTTATCTCATAATTATGACTTTTTATCTTATAATTATGGCTTAGTAGGTCTTATGACTTTTTTTTTATCTCATAAATGACTTTATCTCATAATCGTGACCTTATGTCAGAACTTTTACTTTTTATCTCATAATTATGACTATCTTATAATTATGGCTTAGTAGGTGTTATCTCATGACTTTTTTTTATCTCATAATTATGACTATCTTATAATTATGGCTTAGTAGGTGTTATCTCATGACTTTTTTTTATCTCATAATTATGACTAGGTAGATCTTATCTCCTAACTTTATCATCTCATAATTTTGACTTGGTATTTCATAATTTTGATTATCTCATAATTGACATCATAATTATGCCTTTTTGTCATACTTTTTTTAATGATTTATGTCAGTTTTGACTTCTGTCATAAGACATGTTATGTGATAATTACGCATGATTTTATTTCTAAACGGCTAAAACCCTCTGAAGACAAAAAAAGTGACACAAAAACAACATTTTGGTACACTGAACTTTAATGATGACAAACTCGTCCAAGCAGGACACGTTACACACTCAGTATTGTAACACCTTTCTGTCCAAACACAGAAAGAGGCCCGGTTTATTCCTCCACACACTCCATTTCATTAGCTTAATTTAAATAAATCACCCATAATAATTAAATATTCAGTAATCATACATGTGGACTAGTCTCTAAACAGTAGAAGCACAATTTGCAAATGCACCACAAAGATACGCAACACTTAAGATACAGTATGTCCATGACAAACGCTTGAACTCTTAAATAACCATAAATCTCTTCTGCTTAGTGGGTTTTACTAAGACCCAGAGTGGATGTTGAGGATGGAAACACTATAGATACGGTACAGTTGAATCCGCAGACGGTCTGGTCATGCTACAACGTCAACTATTAGCAACAGGGGCTTTATCATCTTTATACTTATTATTATTATTATTATTATTACAACAAACAACAGAATTACAATCCACCGTTGTGGAGGGTTGCTCTCATATTTTCTCATTTTCAACAAAACAACATCAGAACAAACTGAAGTGATATTTTACGTTTCTCTTTTGCTAGATCTTGATTTTCGTAATGAACCTCAAATTACAGACAAAATCAGATAACGTTGCATAATTTCAATGCACGGGGACAGTTGTCCACACACACGTGAAAAAATGTCCATCGGTGATGTTTAAAGGTGCTTTAAACTATTTTTAATGCCAAAAAAGAGGCTTGATCGACGTGGTGGAAACTAAAAATCGCTTACAGCACCTTTAATCAGCTTCATGTTCAGAATATCACACTACTGTTACTATTTCTGCAGTATGTACACTATGCACAGTATGCACATGTTCTGTATGAATACCCTAACGACCAAAAAATGTGCAGATTTGAGTTTGTTCAGACTTAAAAATGCAAAAATGACTTAATATCTGAATGCAGCTTGCTGAATTAAACATGCAGTGAGTCGACAATGTTGCATACTACGGTTTAGCATCGAATAGTGCGCACTCACATGCTATTGTTAGTAAACAGTATATACTGTACAGCAAGTATTCACTTCCAAACACAGCCTGTGTGGAAAACCATCCCGGTGTGATCATTCGTCTTCAGCATTAGTCTCGATTTATTAAACGAAGTGTAAACACACAAGCGTCTCACAGAACTCAAGAACGTCTGTTCACCCTAAAACGGCACTATTTGTGTATTAAACGACATGAACGTGCGGTCAGCGTGTAGATACGGCTGACCGGTGAATATATTGCACTGTCTAATTCAATCCAGCCCCACCGAAGGTTCAGATTCACTAATGAATGAATGATTTCTGAGCACAAGCACTGAGGGTGAACGCACGTCCTCGTACCGGAGAGCTTTTACATCGGCACGTTTGCACGGCAAAATAATAAACAATATTTCAATATTTTGAAGAACGTTGGGAACCAAACCGTTTTGGGTCCCATTGACTTCCACAGTATTGTTTGTCCATACCATGCAAGTCAATGGGACCTGAACCCGTTGGAACATTTTCTTTTGTGTTCCACGGAAGAAAGAAACTCGTACACGACATTTTTAAAGGGTCACAATGTGAGGAGTTTCTAGAAGGCTTGATGGTTGTGATACTGGATCTCCACAATGAGCTTGAAGGAGGTTTAACCAAAGACAGAAACCGGTTTCTCAAAACATCTGGAAGGGTTTTGGGTTCCTCCGTGTTCTTTGCTCGTGTCCGATGCAATGCTGGTGGGTTTAACTCGATGTGGGGGAAAACAGAAGAAGAAAACGATGCTAAGGGTCGCGTGGAGAAAAGGGGCTGAGCCATGAAAGCAGAGAAGGAAAAAAGACAGAAGAGTAAGCATCGAGACACAAGAAAGCTCTGCAGAAACTGTCCTCGGAGTCACACGGAGAGAAGACGAACCCCACGATCCCTGCTGAAGTGTAGAAGTGTTCAGACCTCTTTCATTAATGAGAAACATTTGAATACTACACAATGGTTTAGAATCAAGTACAAATGTAATATAGTGGCCACACAAAGCATTTGTTCACTAAAGTCGCATCTAAAATGTCTAAATGTCAATCATTGGATGCAAATCAAATCTAACTATTCTTTAAAACTTCTCAGATTATTTTGGAATCTTAATAAGCAGCTGATTCTATTTAGATTTTTTTTTTTTTAAGTATTATATATATTATATTACTATATATTTTCATGTATAAAGACCAAAATTAATACTATAAAATGTCAAAATATTATTTGAGAGATATTTCGGTTTTGTTACATTATTTCAACTCATTATAGTACTAAACAATTATTTTTAATGTGTTTTTTATTTTATTTATTTTTATTAGTTGTTGTTGTCGGACTGTTTTTTTCCCCTCGGTCTAGAAAACTTAATTCTGATTGGTCAGCCGCGTCATTTAGTGGTCAAATATGCCTGAATAATCAGCGCTCGTCAGGTGTTTTTTAATTGATTCCATTACAATATTTTTATTTTAACTAATATATTAACTGTAACCTTAAACAAAAACGTTTAACTTATAATCTTGAGAAATATTTTGTCGCTACTACTTTCCCGCGTCTCGTATCACTCCGCGTTCGCGCTTCAAGATTTGGCGCCATCTTGCGTCTCTAACGGTTATTGCTGCTCGGTTCAAAATGCCCTCAGAGGATTTCTGTGTTGCTTTTAGCGTGAAAATGACGTTTGGTTGATATTTTATTTGTTTTAATTGGAATTACCTCAGGAGACGATGGTGCACACACAAACTTAGTGTGTTTTCACCGTGAGCCCGGTTTAAATGTCACGGGAGGAAAAATAGGTGCTTCAGCGTCGCACTGTTGTATCGACAGCAGGTAAGACTTGGATTATTCTCTGCCGCCGTGCAGTAAACAACACTCTGAACTGCTAAACCAAGTGTTTAATGATTATAGGTGCTGATTTAAACTAGTTTGTTTTGCTTTAGTGATGGGCGTTCTAAACACTGCCGCGTGAAGATTCGAATCTTTCTATTTGAATCAGTGGTTCGGAGTCGTGTGATTCAGTGTCGACGGAAGATCTCAGTGAACACATGAACCAGTGTCTAATGTTTTACTGATCTAGGGTCAGTTTTGTAATTTAAGATCAGTGTCGATGACGTGTCTCTAATTGGCCTGATCAATCAAACACTGATCTTAAAACATATTTTTGTACTATGTTCTCGTTGCATTGACACCGTTTCGACCAGCAGGTGTCGCCCGCGCGCGCTTCGAAAAAGTGAATCATTTTATGAACCATATGACTCATTTGAATCAGTTGAGTTTTCCTCATAAACACCTCTAATGAAATGACATTTAGACTTTTAACTGTGGCTTAAGTGTCCAAATATGTTCACAGCCACTGTATATTGTGTTGTAGTGAAATTGATGTGAACTACAGATATGATTATTTCATATTAATGCATTGTGTTGACTTAATGGCCTAATGTTTACATTTAAACAACTTTGTCCATGCTTTGTGTGCAACTCTACTGTCAGTGACTTTCTCAGCCTACATACAGTAAAAAAGTGTATTACCCTTCGGGGAGTCTGGTGTCGTCTTCTGGCCCGTGAGCTCAGGGACCACTGCAGCCCGACACACATACGAAACAAAAACAAGAAGAGCCAAAGTAATGAACAGAAATACAGATGCACACGAGCTCATTCCAGAAGATGCAGTTATCATGAGACTCCAGATCACACTTTGGAGAGATAATGCATCCATAAACTGCAGGAAATCAAGCGTCTGAGAACCAAAAGAAGCTTAAAAACGACATAAACGAAATAAATTAGGCAACAGAAATGCATTTATCAAACCCTGTGCTCATTCATCTAACTTCTCTTGTCAAGCTAAGTCAACATAAGGAGCCATGGTGAAAATAAATAAAGTCTTCTAAAGTTTGGTTTGACGATGACAAAATGATATGAAATGAACGGTTAAACTTGTGACAGAGGGTTGTAGAGTTGTTGTGCTGTCCAAGTGAGGCTTTACTGTGTATGTGTATTAATGTGTGTGAGTGGAGGAGAAGTGTCTGTCCTCGCTGTCTGTCACGGGTGTGGGAGGGGCTAATAGTCTAAGAGGGAGGAGTCTGTGGGTCAGTTAGGTCGAGTAGGTGATGCTGGGGGTCGCCGGCTGCCATGGGAACACAGAGAGAAGATGGATGAGTACCACACACACACACACACTCTCAGACACACTCTCACACACACACTCACACAGTCTCACACACAGTCACACACACACACACACACACACACACACACACACACACACACTCTCAGACACACTCTCACACACACACACACACACACACTCACACAGTCTCACACACACACACACACACACACACAGTCTCACACACACACACACACACACACTCACACACACACACACACACACACACACACACACACACACACTCACAGACACACACAGACACACACACACACACACACACACACACTCACACACTCACACTCACACACACACACAC